CTGGAGGCAGAAAGTTCTCACCAATGTGAAAGTGACCCACCCACCTGCCCCCAAACCTAAAAGTGCTGTAGTATTTCACATTATTAAACAGAAATTTTACAGTTTAGGATTTGGGGCAGGTAAGCCAGAAGAAAATTGGTTCAGTTGCTCCATTGGGACACAAGTGTGGGAACTCAAGTGCACAATGTTATTATGAGTAGAGTGCCAAAACCTCAGAGTCATTTGAGCTGGGAACATATACATTTCTTTAGACAAATAAACGTGGACATGCCCTTAGGAAACTGATCAAGGTCCTCTTAGGGAAGGAAGTCTGATTGAAGAAAATGGAAAGATGTAAAGAGATCAGAAATTAGTGATGAACAATGAGTAAAGTGAACAAATTTACTGGTGATACTAAATTATCTAGTAACAAAACAAAAACAAAAACAAAAAAGGATGGTAGTGGTGACAGATATTATTTTATAAACTGAAGCATCACTAGTATACTGCCTTGGATACTGCCTATCTAAATATAGCCTCTGGAATATCCTGAATAATTTGGGTGATACTGATATGAAGAAAAGGAAAAGAAGAGAGGATGGGAGAACATACTGGGAATTGGTCTGAAAGATTACAATGTAATACAACACAGAGTTTAGGCTCAAGGCCTTTTGTGATCACCAAGCCCAGGAAACTACCCTTCACGTGCATAAGTGGCATTGCTAATCATACAAGCTGTTGAAAAAACTATTGGGAAGAAGAGCCATTACAATCCCCACAAATGTGGAATGGTGTATCCACTTGTAACTCATCCAGGAACAAAATTCCTCCTGGAACAAGGGATGTATTCCTGGGGACTGGTTGTCATGAGCTACCATACAGATGGATATTCAAGGTCCTTTAATGTCATTACAAAAGTTTGTGACATGATCCCAGAGCAGCCCATTGCATATACCCTTTTGCAATAATAGCAATCCCTCTACTCCATCCATTATTACACGGAACCTGACGACATAACAAGGCAGGAAGAGTAAAAGCCACCATTATAGCTGGCTTATCTGCATAGTGACAAGTCTCTGTAATTAGCACTAAGGAGATGTTACCATCCAGTAAGAAGCCAATTAATAAATCAGTTGCGGGGGGAGTAATCTCAAATTCTGTAAGACACACTGCATAGTACATATTATTTAAGATCACTGAACAGCAATTACATTCTCCAAACAAGATGATTCAGGAAAGTGATGAATTTGTTGTGTGATTCATCTTGAAGTAGATTCTTCTTCTACAGGACTAGAACAAACTGGAATTATGATATTCCCTAGACAGAGACCTTTCCTTTTTTTTTAAGTTACAATCAGCCAAGTATGTTGACACAGCTTGCCAGCCCTTAATGTGGCATCAAAAATAGCACAGGTTTTTTTTGAAAAGAAAGTGCCACAGAATATCTCTGGCTAACTTTTGGGCAATTTGGCTTTCAAGGAACTCATTAATGAGTACATGTGGGTGTCTATTTTACACAGATGTGCTTCTCTATCTTTTAACTTCCTCTTCTAAATACGTTGTCTTTAAAGTAAGCTGAAACTTGAGACTGTATATACAAACTTATTTATTTATTTAAATTTAAAGGCCACCTGACTCCAGATGACTCTGGATGGCTTGCAATTTAAAAAGTAGGAACTCCTTCCATTAAAACAGGGGGAAAAATGCATGTTCAGAAAGAAACATACAGTAGAACAAAGAGGCAACCAATGGGCTCGCCCTCTACCTACCCCAAAGCATGGGAGAACAGACTTTCAAAATATCATCAGGGGGGAAGCCATACAGATCTTGCGGGGGGGGGGGGGGTCCAGGGGGAG